ATATATATATATATATATATAAAAGCAAAGTGTCTGATTCACCTACTTTTTTAAAATAATAATAATAATAATAATGAGAAAAAAAAATAAATACCACTTTTAAATCTGAGGGAAATTAAGTTCAATTTTACTCATATTATCGATTTTTTTTGTTGAGCATATTAACAACTTGGTGGTAAAATAGAGTTACATAAAATTTAATATAAAAATATGTCATTCTTCAAATATAAATACAAATTCATATTATAAAATTGATATGAATTTTAATTTATATTTTTGATTATTTATGTTTTACTTAAATTAAATGGTATAGAAATATTATGAATGTACATAAAGAATGCATTGATCTTCTTATTTTACTGAATACTTTATATTCCAATTTAGAGAATTTGTACTTTTATTTTTTGTGCTAAAATATTTGACATTTTAAAATTTTAAAGTCTAATTTATATTTTTTCTTAATTATATTCTTATATATTTGGTAGATATTTTCTTCATCTATTGTTCACTTATTTTTTAAGAAATTGAGATAATGGAACATTAAATAAAGTTATTTTAACTCATCAAATTTATATGTATTTAAAGTTTTGGAGGGAAATAATAATAATAATAATATAATTTTAAAAAATAATATAAAGATTCTTTGAACACTATTTGTTTAATAATAAAATAAGAATTGAAGCAACCAAGTATAATTTTTTATTGCATGAAAATTGTTTTTCTTGTTTTTATTTTGCGGGATAATTATTGAAAATAAAAATAAATTTGCAGGGTATTAAGTTTTACGTTACAAACATCAAGGTACAAGTAATTTAAACATATAGGAAAGTTTAATTCTAATAATTCTACATTCTTTATTCTTTATTTGGAAGTCAAAGTTTATAGATTTAAATATAATAATATTATATCAAAGACTAGGATCTACAATATGCTTTATAATTAAGGATAAGACACATATCTTATTAGTTCTTGATTTAGGCATTTTTTTAACAATTAATAAACATGAATAAATAGAATTAGTGAATTTCATGGGAACTTATTCTCTTTTCAAATGGGAGAAGGAAGTATGAGAGAAGGAAGTATGAGTTGTAATCTAGTACATTGATGACCATAATTAAAAGGGTTTTCATTATTTTTTAATGAACTAATACTAACATCTGTTCATGAAAGTTTATAGTTTAATGAGCTCTCTTAATTTGATCACATAAAATAAAGTCTACTAATAATAAAAAGTTAATATAATTATTTTATAATATTAGCTCAAATTAATTATTGAAATAAAAATTTTCAATAATCTCCCGCTTAGAAAATATATTTTAACAATTATATCTTAATTCTTTAGGTGTACATTCGTATATTATTTCTCTTTAGACTTCCACTCTAACAATTTGGCCCATCTCATATTTTAGGGAACTATCATAGCTTCTATTGTATCGAGCACTTACTGTAACGACCCGTCATGACTGCCATACTGCGCAACACACAACTAACTACGTATATACATCTACTGAAACAATAATATAATATAAGCACATTAACATCTCATGAATACGTACAATTATGTTGCTTGACCAGCAACTATATACAAACAAATATATAGAAGTATCTACCAATAACCGGTAGTCTACAAAATAAAATCCAACTCCATGCACCTCCTATGGCCTCTAGCAGTTATCTCTTAGCCTATCCCTACTCTGTTCCCATACATCATGTGATCATTGCAGTCTAAACCACATGGAAACATGTAAGGGTAAGCTAGAAAAAATAAACAATTCATAATAATAGTCACCATATTCAACACAACAACAAGTAACACATTTATTACATACCTCTCAACAACACACACACACACACACACACACACAAACATATATATGTGTGTGTGTGTGTGTATGAAAACAACTTACAACACTAGTAACTTCACATCACTATCATCATCAAATAGTTCAACATACAACACATAATACTTAAACAACATATGAATATAAAAGCAACCTACAACATAATATCACTATGAACAATAACAACTTATTTCCCATGCAACACACAACACATTGACAACATACATCTCAGCAACACCTTCACAACTCGTCAACACATATAACTCATATCATTACAATATCAACTAATCAGCACATATAACCTATATCATCACAATATCAATTCATCAACGCATATAACTAATATCATCACAATATCAACTCATCAACACATATGTGTCGTCACGCATTTCAACTCAGAGATCTCCTACAACACAAGATGAGCAGCTTAAGTGGCTAGATCCTACCAAACTGACAACATAGAACCTTTTTGGGCTTGTTAGGTAAACAACAAATTTGGATAAAAATCCACAACACGATAACAGTTTCTCAGACTTTGTCACTTAAAAAAGGAAGCATAGTATTATGTCAAGATATGACAACTGGGTTTATGCCTACCACGACATTAGCTAGGTCAACTAAGCCACATATGGGATTAGCCTACTAACTATCCTCCAAATATTACAACCATCCGATACTCGGTTAGGAACTAAGTTCCGGACTTCGTACTTTACTTGAATTGGCCGCTTGTAATCAGTATAGCTCGACCTGACCCCTATACCGTAGTCGCTTCATAGACGTGTGCCTTAACCTTGCCCACACACGGGACCAACTAAGTCCTAGAGGAGAACAACACATCAACCACTCCAAGGGACAACTTCCCAAGGAGGGTTTTCAACAAATTGGGCTCTTAGAGCACCACGACACTCTCAATCCACACAATGGGATGAGTAACTTCGAAAACATCTCCCTTAGTCTTAGTCATCAACAACTCGTCATCACAGCACAACAACACAGTTATCAACTCATCATCTCAATCAACTTTCAACTTGAACAACACAGTCAACTCATAACTTTAACAACATCGTTATCATCTGACCAGCTCAATTATTAACTCATTTCAACTTTAAACAACACAATCAACTCAAAAACTTAATAGTTCAACTCACAATTTACAACTCAATCATCATAAAGTAATATCTTTTCAACACATAGTACAACATACAACTTTATAACAACACACAACTCTCATCTAACAACTTAGCAACACAGTCTACTAATAACTTATGTATAAATCTCAACACATCTACACATTTCACCTCATGCTCCTCACAACTCACAACATTATCATCATGCACTTCACAACTCTCAACTAGATCATCTCATCATATTTCATAACATATAAATACTCATCACACAACTTGTAAACAACCTCACACCTCAACTACAACATGCAACTCACATCTCACTTACTAAGTATCCTCATCATACTACACAACATCATCTTTCCACGCAAAACACATCAACCCATGTTATGCAATCATCTTTAACCATTTACAACATACACAACACATAATAGAACTTATACATCTCGATTACATCCCATCTTCATCATAAAAGCATCATTAACAACATCATTAATCAATATTTTATCATTTTATATCATCATACAACATTTTCATCACATAATACAACTCATACTACATATTTACAACTAATTTATCATGCCAACTTACAGACATAAACAACCTAAATCAACCTAAGCACCTAAAACAACTTTCAACTTAACCAAATCACTCCTTGTGAAATGGCAACCTTCACATAAAATAGCGTATCAGGAGTTATACTACTCCTATCATACTCATCCTTATCTCATATGAAAGATAAGAAGATTTTATACAACTCTAATTAGTACACCAAGTCTTAATTCCATCATCTACCTTGTTAAAAATTCTAAAAACCGCAACATCTATAACCAATGTTGATAGCTTGACCATGTTCACTAAAACATCTATATCTGGAGTTCTATACCTCCTTTTTGGGTGATTCCAGCGCCATTCGAAAGCTAATATCCAAGGCTACAAATTTTATGAAGACCGCAAGACCAAATTCGGTCATCTACTCTTACCGCTTCAGCGCTCAAATCAACACTCTAGCGCTGGATTTCTGCCAACTCAATTTTGTTCCCACGGCTACAATAGTGGATCTCTACCATCCCCTCTTTTCCATGGTTGCGGCCATGAACCATGGCTATAGATGTGGATCTCTGCCATCCCCTTTTTTACCCCATGGTTGAAGCCATGAGTCATGGCTTAAGCGGTGGGTGCAAAATTTTCTGCATTTCCATGGCTTCCACCTTCAATCTTCACCTTCTCTTCACCAATCTTCCCTCTAAACATGATCGATGTCCATGATTACTACTAATTCATTCAAGAAACCCAAAAACCATACAAATTTCAACATGCATGCATTAAACTCAATGAATCACTCATTTTCCCCAA